GAAAGTTTTTTACTGTATCTATAATTACTCATGTGGCAATGCCAGTCACCCAAAATCACGAACAAGTTTAACCCATCTATGACTCATGTATGTGGCGATGCCAGTTACTAAATTTGTTCACGATTTCTTTTACCACATTTAATACTCTTGTGGATTCTAGTTACTTAAATCATAATTGTTTTTACCATATATATATATCCAAGACTCATGAGGGCCAAACTCACAGAAGTTTTTAAATTTCATAACCAGAATGAACTCCTTCAAGTTAGTAAAACAAGAGTGCACACGTTGAAATGTCTCGAATTCTTTGCTAACCATTAATTTTATGTTTATAGTCCTAGATTAGTCCTTAGATTTTAACGAAAGAAATATTTGTATTACTGAAACATTATTATATCAGGGTTTTCGATTTCGCAAACTAGTCAAAACATTTACTAAATTTGATCAGCGGTACAAGGACATCATTTATAATTTCGTAAATATCAATCAACATGCAGACATCTTATACGTTCAGGTATTTCACATCAAACCTTTATGGTAATATTCTTTACAAAAGCACAAAAATGTCGGCATTCACCTCAAAAGCTAACCAAACCTTTAAACAGACTTATTAAGAAGGGATAAAGTTACGATACTGTTGTCATGACATTAAAGATTGCATATTTTGGCTTTAATATTGATTCACTTATAGGGTATTTGCATCGGAAATAAACACATTTATCTAAAACCAGTTGTTGGCATGATACGGGTTATGTTCTTCTCATATATTTTATGATGGTATGATACTAAAACCCTAACGGGAGAGATTGTACTTGATATTTGTATGATGAAGACATTATCTTTCAATCAGTTTAATTGCGGTCTGGAGCTGGCATGTAAGTAATTGCTTGTGGTCCTTTGTTAATTTATGTATCATTGTCATTTTGTTTAGTTTCTTTTGTTACCTATTCTGACATCGGACTCGGACTTAAACTGAGTTTTACTGTGCGTATTGCTGTGTGTTTGTTTTTCTACATTGGCTAGAGGTATAGGAGGTGGGGTGTTAAGATCTCACAAAACATGTTTAACCCCGCCGCATTTTTGCGCCTGTCCCAAGTCAGGAGCCTCTGGCCTTTGTTAGTCTTGTATGATTTTTAATTTTAGTTCATTTATATATTTCGGAGTTTAGTGTGACGTCCATTATCACTGAACTAGTACACATTTATGTTTAGGGGCCAGATGAAGCACGCCTCCGGTAGCGGAATTTTATCGCTGTGTTGAAGACTCATTGGTGGCCTTCGGCTGTTTTCATGCTCTTTTGGTCGGATTGTTGGGTCTTTGACATATTCCCGATTTCCATTCTCAATTTTACTAAATATAAAACTTTACTACAAGTATCACATAAACTAAACATGATCCAATAATATGAGGTCAAGGTCTTATTCACTCAGTTAAACCAAACGAGAATTACATGTACACCTTACAATCATTTAACAGACCAAATATAGTTGAACTACTGCTTATAGTTTCTAAGAAACAGACTCAACCAAGAAAACTTAACATTGACATATGAACCAAAAAAATGAGGTCTAGGTCAGATGAATCATGCCAGACATACATGTACACCTTACAATCAATCTATGCATTACATATAGTTGACCTAATGCTTATAGTATATAAGAAACAAAATTTACCATGAAAACTTAACATTGACCAATTTACCATGAAAATGAAATCAAGGTCAGATTATACCAGCCGGACAGGCATATTCACCTAACAATCCTTCCATACACCAAATATAGTTGACCTATTGCATATAGTATTAGACGAAAAGTCAAAAACTTAACGTTGGCGACTGAACCATTAAAATGAGGTCAAGGTCAGATGACACCTGCCAGTTGGACCTGTACACCTTACAATCATTCAATACACCAAATATAGTAGACCTATTGCTTATAGTATCTGATATATGAACTTATTCACGGATCCATGAAATGAGGTCGAGGTCAAATGAAAACTGTCTGAGGGGCATGACGACCTTGCAAGGTACGCGCATACTAAATATAGCTATCCTATTACTCATAAGAAAGGAATTAACATTACAAAAAATCTTATCTTTTGTTACAAGTAGTCACTAAACCATAAAATGAAGTCAAGCGGACATATGACAGACGGAAATTTCGTAACATAAGGCATCTATATAAAAAATATGAAGCATCAAGGTCTTCAACCTTCTAAAATATAAATCTTTAAAGAAGTTAACTAAATATCCCTACGTCGCGCTTTCTGCAACAAAAAAAAAAACATACCCCCCTTGAAGTTGAATGGTCGTGCCCTCATCACCAGTGCGAATTCTAATGCATATGAAATCTTGGTCTTTTCCACACACATAAATGACATAACATTTTATATAAAATATCTTTCAAAAGTGTGTTTTTTCTAGTGTCTCTGTAAGTTATTACAAACCCATTTACCATGTTTACCACATACATTACAGTTATAATTTATCTCTAGTGTGTGGTCTGATGTGTCTCTGTAACATTGACTAATTCATTTACCACATACATTACAGTTATAATTCATCTCTAGTGTGTGGTCTGATGTGTCTCTGTAACATTGACTAATTCATTTACCACATACATTACAGTTATAATTCATCTCTAGTGTGTGTACTGATGTGTCTCTGTAACATTGACTAATTCATTTACCACATACATTACAGTTATAATTTATCTCCAGTGTGTGTACTGATGTGTCTCTGTAACATTGACTAATTCATTTACCACATACATTACAGTTATAATTTATCTCCAGTGTGTGTACTGATGTGTCTCTGTAACATTGACTAATTCATTTACCACATACATTACAGTTATAATTTATCTCTAGTGTGTGGTCTGATGTGTCTCTGTAACATTGACTAATTCATTTACCACATACATTACAGTTATAATTCATCTCTAGTGTGTGTACTGATGTGTCTCTGTAACATTGACTAATTCATTTACCACATACATTACAGTTATAATTTATCTCCAGTGTGTGTACTGATGTGTCTCTGTAACATTGACTAATTCATTTACCACATACATTACAGTTATAATTTATCTCCAGTGTGTGTACTGATGTGTCTCTGTAACATTGACTAATTCATTTACCACATACATTACAGTTATAATTTATCTCCAGTGTGTGTACTGATGTGTCTCTGTAACATTGACTAATTCATTTACCACATACATTACAGTTAAAATTCATCTCCAGTGTGTGTACTGATGTGTCTCTGTAACATTGACTAATTCATTTACCACATACATTACAGTTATAATTTATCTCCAGTGTGTGTACTGATGTGTCTCTGTAACATTGACTAATTCATTTACCACATACATTACAGTTATAATTTATCTCCAGTGTGTGTACTGATGTGTCTCTGTAACATTGACTAATTCATTTACCACATACATTACAGTTATAATTTATCTCCAGTGTGTGTACTGATGTGTCTCTGCAACATTGACTAATTCATTTACCACATACATTACAGTTATAATTTATCTCCAGTGTGTGTACTGATGTGTCTCTGTAACATTGACTAATTCATTTACCACATACATTACAGTTAAAATTCATCTCCAGTGTGTGTTCTGATGTGTCTCTGTAACATTGACTAATTCAGTTACCACATACATTACAGTTATAATTCATCTCCAGTGTGTGTACTGATGTGTCTCTGTAACATTGACTAATTCATTTACCACATACATTACAGTTATAATTTATCTCCAGTGTGTGTACTGATGTGTCTTTGTAACATTGACTAATTCATTTACCACATACATTACAGTTATAATTTATCTCCAGTGTGTGTACTGATGTGTCTCTGTAACATTGACTAATTCATTTACCACATACATTACAGTTATAATTTATCTCCAGTGTGTGTACTGATGTGTCTCTGTAACATTGACTAATTCATTTACCACATACATTACAGTTAAAATTCATCTCCAGTGTGTGTTCTGATGTGTCTCTGTAACATTGACTAATTCATTTACCACATACATTACAGTTAAAATTCATCTCCAGTGTGTGTACTGATGTGTCTCTGTAACATTGACTAATTCATTTACCACATACATTACAGTTATAATTTATCTCCAGTGTGTGTACTGATGTGTCTTTGTAACATTGACTAATTCATTTACCACATACATTACAGTTATAATTTATCTCCAGTGTGTGTACTGATGTGTCTTTGTAACATTGACTAATTCATTTACCACATACATTACAGTTATAATTTATCTCCAGTGTGTGTACTGATGTGTCTCTGTAACATTGACTAATTCATTTACCACATACATTACAGTTATAATTTATCTCCAGTGTGTGTACTGATGTGTCTCTGTAACATTGACTAATTCATTTACCACATACATTACAGTTATAATTTATCTCCAGTGTGTGTACTGATGTTTCTCTGTAACATTGACTAATTCGTTTACCACATACATTACAGTTATAATTCATCTCTAGTGTGTGTCTGATGTGTCTCTGTAACATTGACTAATTCATTTACCACATACATTACAGTTATAATTTATCTCCAGTGTGTGTACTGATGTGTCTCTGTAACATTGACTAATTCATTTACCACATACATTACAGTTATAATTCATCTCTAGTGTGTGGTCTGATGTGTCTCTGTAACATTGACTAATTCATTTACCACATACATTACAGTTAAAATTCATCTCCAGTGTGTGTTCTGATGTGTCTCTGTAACATTGACTAATTCATTTACCACATACATTACAGTTAAAATTCATCTCCAGTGTGTGTTCTGATGTGTCTCTGTAACATTGACTAATTCATTTACCACATACAATACAATTATGATTTATCTCTAGTGTGTGTTCTGATGTGTCTCTGTACCATAATGTATCACTTTTATAAGGCCTACCAACAGTGTATGATCCCGTGTGTATAGTTAAGTTTGTGTAAAGTAACACTTTACAACACATATCACATTTATTAAGTTTAATTATCAGAAATGTGTCTTCTCATGTGTCTCTGCCAGTTTGAACGATCACCAAACTCTCTACTACACACATCACATTTATAAGGTTTATCACCAGTATGTATTCTCATGTGTTTTTGCAATGTTGAATTATCACTAAGCCCTTTACCACATAGATCACATTTATGCGGTTTATCACCAATGTGTGTTCTCATGTGTTTTTGCATAGCATTACTCTGATTACATTTTTTACCACATATATCACATTTATAAGGTTTATAACCAGTATGCGTTCTCATGTGTATGTGCAAGTTTGAAGAAACACCAAACCCTTTACCACACATATCACATTCATAAGGTTTATCACCAGTGTGTGTTCTTATGTGTGTCTTTAAGTTTGAACTCTGAGCAAAACTTTTACCGCATACATCACATTTATAAGGTTTGTCACCAGTGTGTGTTCTTCTGTGTATCCCCAAGGTTGAACTATGAGCAAACCATTTACCACATATATCACATGTTATATTAGGTTTATCACCAGTATGTGATTTCATCTTTTGTAAGCTTTGTAAGTTTGAACTATGACTAAACTCATCATTTATATATGGTTTATTATCAGTGTGTGTTCTCGTGTGTCTCTGCAATGTTGAACTATCAGCAAACCCTTTACCACATATATTGCATGTTTCAGGTTTATCACCAGTATGTGATTTCATCTTTTGTAAGTTTTGTAAGTTTGAACAATGACTAAACTCATCACCTATATAAGGTTTATCATCAGTGTGTGTTCTCGAATGTCTCTGCAATGTTGAACTTTGAGCAAACCCTTTACCACATATATCACATTTATGCGGTTTATCACCAGTGTGTATTCTCATGTGTCTCTGCATATCATTACTCTGAGTAAACCCTTTACCACATATATCACATCTATAAGGTTTATCACCAGTGTGTGTTCTTATATGTCTCCATAAAGTTGAACTTTGAGCAAACCCTTTACCACAGATATTACATTTATACGGTTTATCACCCGTGTGTGTTCTTATGTGGCTGTTTAAGTTTGAACAGTCAGCAAAATTTTTACCACATACATCACATCTATAAGGTTTATCACCAGTGTGTGTTCTTTTGTGTCTCCCTAAGGTTGAACTATGAGCAAACCCTTTACCACATATATCACATGTATTGGGTTTAACACCAGTATGTGAGTTCATCTTAATTTGTAAGTTTAAACTATGGCTTATCTCGTCACCTATATAAGGTTTATCATAAGTGTGTATTCTAGTGTCTGTGTCTCTTCAGAAGCTGGCTCTGACTAAATCCTTGAACCCCATTCATCCCATTTATTAGGTTTATCACCAGTATGTTCTCATATCAATCTGTAAGTTTGAACTATGATCAAACCCTATATCATATTTATAATATATATTATATATATATATATATATATCACATTTATAAAGAGTATCTCTAGTGTAGGTTCTCATGTCTCTGACTACACACTTAACGACATATAGATATGCTCATGTAACTTTGCAGTATGTGTTTAAATTTGTTCATCAAACTCTGTGCTGTGTTCTTATGCATGTTATGTGTTGCTCAAATTCTGCATTATGTGTTTTGAATTCACAGATTTGTCTAACTCAGCATAATGTTTTTTAATGTGTTCCTTTTCTAGTGCATCATCAATACCCTAATCTTCACAGGTCTGACTGTTTCCTCAAGCATGATTCTGATGTTTTCAAATATAAACTAAACTGTAGTTTGATCAAAGGAGGTAATTACAGATCTTTCTGATTTTGTTATGTCCGTCAATTCATTGGTTTCTGTACATCCTTTTTTACCCCTTTTTCTTTGAGTAGCGTGGTATCTAAATAAGAGAGAAGTTAACTATTATTTTGATATATGAATTAAAGTTTCACGAGGGAAAATCAATAATAATATAAGAGTGCACACGCTGAAATGTCTCGCCTTCTTCACTAACCATTGATATTATGTTGATAGTCCTAAATATAAAGCTTTACTACACAGGGTTTCCCCTGGATCAATTATTGTTTCGCCACCTCTTTCACCAAAACAATATATTTTTCGCCACTTTCAATTTTTTTTTTCACCAAGTAACATAAATATATTTTTCGTTTAAAAATTTCCTTCTTTCTAACAAAAAAATGAGTTTGCCCCTTTGTTGTCTATGATTATTCTCTTAACCTTATCTTTTAGTCTACATTGTAATGAATAAACACCAAACATTTACTTTTTACAAAAAAGATACTGTAAATATTGCAATATCGATCATGAAATCATCATTTTGACTTCTGGGAACACGAAATTCATCTTCAATAGGTTTATCGAATATATATTTCCCTAATCTAGTTGAATATATTTCTTTATAATGACAGTTATCTTTTCCGGACCATCTTAAATGAAAAAGTAGAGACGTAAAACTATGTTTGAAGTTAGAACACATGCGTCGCCAAAACGATTTTAAAGTACCATCTCCAAATCAATTATCTATATCAAAGTTCAAGGATAGCGTTTTAACTTATAAGTAAGATATTTTTCTTGCTTTTGAACATTTTTCGTCATAATAACAGTTTTTCTTTCTGGACTATCGTAAAAGAAGAAGAGGAGACGAAAACTATGATTTAAATACGTGCGTCGCAAAGTTGTTAATAAATCCTTTATGTGACATTTGATGGACACTATTTTACCACATCATTTAATTAAACAATACAATCAATTAACACCTTTATTAATTAGTCCATTGTTGTCTACAGCTATAAAATGCAATCAGCTGATTATTGATTTTCTATCAAAATCGTAACGAGTTCAAGGTGAATTCCCAGTATTGTCTGATCAGGTATAGTCAGAGAAGCCCGAAAAAAATTAAATAAACAAGATGGATGAAATCATATCGATACATGTATTTCTTTCGCCAATGATGAATTTTAATCGCCACAATTTCTATTTTTTTGGCAAAATGCGAAAATGGCGACCGCCAGCGGAAACCCGGTTACTTCAACTACACGTATCACATAAACTTAACATGATCCAAGAAAATGAGGTCAAGGTCATATAAACCAAACCAGAAATACATGTTCACCTTACAATCATTCAGTACACTTAATATAGTTGACCTTTGGCTTAAAGTTTTTTTTTAAGAAACAGCCTTAACCAAGAAAATTAAACATTGATCAATGAACCATGAAAATGAGGTCAAGGTCAGATGAATCATGCCAGGCAGACATATACAGCTTACAATCCTTCCATACAAAAATAAAGTTGACCTATTGCTTATAGTTTATGAAAAACAGACAACTAGAGGCTCTCAAGAGCCTGTGTCGCTCACCTGTATTTACTGATGCATTGGAAATCATGTAAATAAGGTTAAAATCATAATTAATAGTATTAGATATTAGATATTATAATGATATCTAAGATAATAACAAAAAACTGCAAAATTTTTGTAAAATTACTAACTCAGGGGCAGCAACCCAACAAGGGGTTGTCAGATTCGTCTGAAAATTTCAGGGCAGATAAATCTAAATCTGATGAACATTTTTGCCACCTGTCAGATTTGCTCTAAATGCTTAAGTTTCAGAGATATAAACCAAAAACTGCATTTTACCCCTATATTCTATTTTTGACCAAGTCGGCCATGATGGTTGAAAGGTGGGGTCATCGGACAAATTTTTTAAACTAGATACCTTAATAATGATTATGGCCAAGTATGGTTAAATTTGTCTCAGTAGTTTCAGAGCAGAAGATTTTTGTAAAAGATTACAAAAATTTACGAAAAATTGTAAAAAATTGACTATTAAGGGCAATAACTCCTAAAGAGGTCGACTGACAATTTTGGTCAATACAACTTATTTGTAGATCTTACTTTGCTGAACACTATTGCTGTTTACAGTTTATCTCTATCTATAATAATATTCAAGATAATAACCAATAAAATGCTTCGCTGGGCGCAGCTTGATACGACCGCAGAGGTCGAACCCTGAACAGTTGGGGCAAGTATGGACACAACATTCAAGCTTGATACAGCTCTGAATTTGGATTGTGATTAAATATTTGACACAGCATAGGTTTCTGACACAGAAAGAATGTGGTCTAAGAACTTCAATTTTTTTAATTTACCTATTATGGTCCAATGTCCAAAATCAAAATACATGGTTAGATTCAGCATATCAAAGAACCCCATATATTCAATTTTTGTTGAAATCAAACAAAGTTTAATTTTGGACCCCAACTTGGACAAACTTGAAAACTGGTCCCATAATCAAAAATTTAAACACATGTTTAGATTCAGCATATCAAAGTACCCGAAGAATTCAATTTTTGTTAAAATCAAACTAAGTTTAATTTTGGACCCTTTGGACCTTAATGTAGACAAATTTAAAAAACGGGACCTAAAATTAAAAATCTAAAAACACGGTTAGATTTGGCATATCAAAGAACCCCAATAATTCAATTTTTGATGAAATCAAACAAAGTTTAATTTTGGACCCTTTTGACCTCAATATGAACCAATTTGATAGCGGGCCCACAAATAAAAAATCTAAATACATGGTAAGATTCAGCATATCAAAGAACCCCATATATTCAATTTTTGTTGAAATCAAACAAAGTTTAATTTTGGACCCCAATTTGGACCAACTTGAAAACTGGGCCAAAAATCTAAAATCTAAATACATGTTTAGATTCAGCATATCAAAGAACCCCATATATTCAATTTTTGTTGAAATCAAACAAAGTTTAATTTTGGACCCCAACTTGGACCAACTTGAAAACTGGTCCCATAATAAAAAATCTAAACACATGTTTAGATTCAGCATATCAAAGAACCCCATATATTCAATTTTTGTTGAAATCAAACAAAGTTTAATTTTGGACCCCAATTTGGACCAACTTGAAAACTGGGCCAAAAATCTAAAATCTAAATACATGTTTAGATTCAGTATATCAAAGAACCCCATATATTCAATTTTTGTTGAAATCAAACAAAGTTTAATTTTGGACCCCAACTTGGACCAACTTGAAAACTGGTCCCAAAATTAAAAATCTAAATACACGGTTAGATTTGGCATATCAAAGAACCCCAATAATTCAATTTTTGATGAAATCAAACAAAGTTTAATTGTGGACCCTTTTGACCTCAATATGAACCAATTTGAAAGCGGGCCCACAAATAAAAAATCTAAATACATGGTAAGATTCAGCATATCAAAGAACCCCATATATTCATTATTTGTTGAAATCAAACAAAGTTTAATTTTGGACCCCAATTTGGACCAACTTGAAAACTGGGCCAAAAATCTAAAATCTAAATACATGTTTAGATTCAGCATATCAAAGAACCCCATATATTCAATTTTTGTTGAAATCAAACAAAGTTTAATTTTGGACCCCAACTTGGACCAACTTGAAAACTGGGCCCATAATCAAAAATCTAAACACATGTTTAGATTCAGCATATCAAAGAACCCTAAGAATTCAATTTTTGTTAAAATCAAACTAAGTTTAATTTTGGACCCTTTGGACCTTAATGTAGACAAATTTAAAAAACGGGACCCAAAATTAAAAATCTAAATACACGGTTAGATTCGGCATATCAAAGAACCCCAATAATTCAATTTTTGATGAAATCAAACAAAGTTAAATTTTGGACCCTTTGGACCTCAATGTGGACCAATTTAAAAACGGGGCCCAAAATCCAAAAACTTAATACACGGTTAGATTCAGCATATTAAAGAACCCCAAGAATTCAAGAATAAAACCCCATTGAAATTGATCAAGAAATAAGCAATTTATACGAAGTATCTTCTTTTGCACAATACTGTGCAATTGAATATTTCTTGCTATTGCACAATACTGTACAATTGACAATTTCTTGCTATTGCGCAATATTGTGCTATTGGATATTTCTTGCTATTGCGCAATACTGTTAAATTGAAGATTTCTTGCTATTGCGCAATACTGTGCAATTGAAGATTTCTTGCTATTGTGCAATACTGTGCAATTGAAAATTTCTTGCTATTGCACAATACTTATTATATAATAATTTACACATCCTGTTTGGTGTGTATCTCCTACCATATCATTATTATTTGCTTTTAAATATAAATCAGAAATAACCAACTTAAAATGGAAAATTTTAAAAGAAAAAAAAAAGGAATAAAAAGAAAAAAAAAAAAAAAAAAATCCCCCCCCCCCCAATTTTTTGAACCCCCTTATGATTCATCACCCCCAAACTCAATCCCAGCCTTCCCTTTGTGGTATGGTACCTTGCAGTACAATTTCAGAGAGATCCATACACTTGAACACAAGTTATTGTCTGGAAACTAGAAAAATGCTTATTTTTGGCCCCTTTTTGGCCCCCGATTCCTAAACGTTTCGGGCAATTACCCCCAAACTCAATTCCAGCTTTCCCTTTGTGATATGGAACCTTGTAGTACAATTTCAGAAATATCCAAACACTTACACACAAGTTATTGTCATGAAACTAGAAAAATGCTTGTTTTTTGCCCCTTTTTTGGCCCCTAATTCCTAAAATTTTGAGGCAATTACCCCCAAAATCAATTACAGCCTTCCCTTTGTGATATGGAACCTTGTGGTACAATGTCAGAGAGATCCATACACTTACACACAAGTTATTGTCTGAAAGTTACAAAAATGCTTATTTTTGGCCCCTTTTTGGCCCCTAATTCCTTAACTGTTGGTACCATAACCCCCAAAATCAATCTCGACCTTCCTTTCGTGGTATTGAACCTTATGGTGAAATTTCATGGAGATCCATTCACTTAAACTAAAGTTAGAGTGCGAAAACCAATGTGTCTTCGGACGACGCCGGACGACGACGACGACGAC